GGATAATATATTGAATTCAAATGCAATTCACGGTCCAAAGAAATTTGTCACTGAAAGGAAACCGTGGCTCTCCTACGCGCCTCGCTTCCCGGGGTGCATTCACAATCGTTTCGCGGTGTTTAGAAGAAATCTATGCAGTCGAACAACACATACCAATCTGTATGGGCTTGTCGAAAGAGAACTGTGCACCAGATTTGAGCGATAGAAGTCTGGTATGAAAGCTGTCATATTTTTATCATATAACGTTAGGAAGACAAAAACGTCACAACCTGAGTCGGGTGAAGCTAGCCTGTGGAAGGGGCAGGGCTATCAGTTGCTCCTGCATCTTGTTGAAAACCGTTTGACACAGTCATGTCAAACAGCCAAGCTCGCAGTGTGAGTGTGGACGCTTGGTGCATTCTTGTACATTCATTGTTCGACTGCTTCATGGTATACATATACATCAAGGTTATTTTTTTTAAACTTCAAATCACTTTCAGTCCAAAATTCTATTCTGTTTGACTTGTTTTGATTGGATCGCACTATTATGAGAAACTTTCCCGCTTCATACGACCAGTCGCATGTACGCACGTGCATACATGCGAATGCATACGTCCTCACATTTTGGCGTGAACTATTGAGATGAGATGCTTGAATTTTTATGATAGTTAAGCCAAGCAAAACAATTTGGCAGCTTTAACTATTTTAACCAGCACATTTCGATCATATTTGACACGAGCGCTTCACCTATTTTCGTAGCAGCCGCATTCACGTCAAAGCAGTAGCTAGCACACTTACCGTCGCGTAGGCTTGTTTGTTTGTGGGTATGCTTCGGGGTAGAACGAACGAACGAACGAACGAACGAACGAACGAACGAATGCGTGTTCCTGGGGGGCGGACGAGCAAATGTTGCAATGCACAGGCAACATTTCCCGAGTTGGGGTTAGCGAGGGAAAGTTACTTTTTCAGGTCACGAGTTGGGCTGACAAAGCATTCTTCTCGAAAAAATAGGAGTCCCCAGGCTATGGACGGCACCGTGACATAAACCTCATTTTTCACTCACGCGGACTTATTCGCTCATCTACAAACATACAGCCTTTCGGAATATGAACAAGGGGATAGTCAAATGTAATTTCTTAGGTAACTTTAACGACCCAAAAAAAAAATCATTTGGTAGTTCATGTTCAAACAAAACAAAAGATCCTCTGGTATGCAGCGCTTCGGACAAATTTTGGTCCCGGGCTTTACGACGAGAATATCGGTACTACTTGTACTCCCGGGAAAAATCAAATAATTTGCGTGATTATCGATTTGGAGCCATACAGGTCCAATTGGCGTTCCACTCGGAACGAAAGTGATCGACGCTCGCGTGACAAGCTGGATAATGACAGTCATAGAAAACTGAAGTAGATAATGCCATAATGTAGGATACCATTGGGAACAAGAAGTCGATAAAAGTTGGTTCTTGGGACAGTGAGAGAGAGGCGGCGTGTATCAGGAAAGGATTTATATAAATAACAAAAACAACCTTTTTTCTCTCAAATATCCTCACTTGACCTGGTTCCATTTCGCTGATTCAGCTTTATTTTCTCCGTATATAATGTCACATACGAACCGCCTTAAGTGACCCTGTATTGATTTTCTTCTCATTTAAGGTGGTCAGCTTTAATTTATTAATACAAAGATGATTTGTCTAGGTCACTGTGTGATAGTATCGGTTGTATCAATTTTCACCTTGCAGTTCAATGCGCCGCGGTTGGTCGTTGTATTTGAGCTAATCTCTTGGTTAATGAATAGATGAATAAGTAAAATTATGAGTAAAAACCGTCAAACTTGTGATAAATTTGGAAGAATATTTTTTTACACTATATTACGCCTTATACAGTTTAGGTGTCCTGCAGATTTTGTTGTTACGTAATTGACAATTTTACGGCTATTGTGAAAAAATGTCCAATAGCTATGTTTTACCACAGACGCGAGTTAGGTTCTCAATACACATGTCAAATTGCCCAGACATAAGTCAATAAACCAAAAGGTCTCCACACAATTCTCATGATTTGTTGTCAGCGGTTTCTGTTTTCTGCTATACATCAATTTGTAACATCTGGAGTTTGGCTTTAGCAGTATTTACCGGGAATCTTCTTAATAATTTACCAATTGTGATTTCATTCGCCGCTCTCTATACTATTCAACAGACTTCTTTAGAGTTGAAAACATCCCCCAAAATTGAACATAGACGTACAAACTCAGACACGGAATGTTTTCCATTTCCGGACCCAAATACTGGAACGCGACTCAGCAGTCAAACAGGTCCTGCGGATTCAATCGCTTCCATCAAGGTCCGATCATCCACACTGCAACCGACCGGATTTCGGCGTGGCGGAAGTGTTAGTCCATCTGTTCGCGTGGGGCCCTCTCCGCGAACGGCAGTGCCACCTCAGTATGGAAAATATCTGTCCAGTTCGAATAGTGCGGCACGTGTCCTCGTCTCACCCCCGCATTTACTCCAGCCAAACCTCATTGCAACGGATTCGAGGAAACCGACCAAACCATTCACATCCGCATTCGAATCGCATTTGTCCGCGGTAGGACCAGGAACCGGAGATAATACAACAGACAGTCCTTCAGTACATCACCATAAAGTAATCAGAGAAGGAGGTTCCAATAAAAATTTATCAGATAAGCTGTCTGTGAGTGTTTTGCTTGTACGGTTCTAACTAAAAATCTGTTGTTTTTAACTAATGATGTTAGTCTGTTTCCTCTGGTTGAATGTGCAACTCCAATGAACCTGTCTCAAAAAGGACCATAGATGTATCCGATTGAATTTCGTCACCAGCACATTAGAAAGCGAACTCATGTGAAGTGTTTCAGACTGGTCAGCCATATTAATATAAGGATGCAGTTTGGGTTGCAAGAAACAATCTGTGAAATTACTTGATAAAAATTAGAGTAGTTCGTTGTGCTTGTTTTACATTTTTGTCTTGGGAATTTCCTGATTTCGAACCCACTGGGACGAGTGTTGAGACTACAAAATCAAAGTTGGTGCATTTGACAATAACAAAAGTCCGATGGGTATGAAATAAACAATGATCTAGCTTTACAATCACGAGTTGCATCAAGTGTTCTTATGGCAATTTGTGGAATACTTCCGTGAGAAATATATTCTGAGATTTCCGAACTCGAATCCACAACGGAATAAACTGTATCTGAATTCGGGGTCGAAATAGACTTGAAGCTTTCATTCTGCTTCATTCAGATCATGTTGATCATGTTAATTATGTCAAGGTTATCCGACACAACAACATACCGATTTTGATTTATCTTTATTCCAGTCTTTTAGATTCATTCAATTGAAGTCGTAGGTATTTCAAACTACATCAGAAATACAGATATTTTGAAATCATTACATATCCACGACTGACATTGGACGATATACTCGAATCATGGTTTACGACTGCCCCGGAAAATTGATTCTCCATTGCAGACATTCGTATACTGACGTTGTGAGATAATCCCCGAACCCACGTGCTTAATCTATTGACCATCGGATGTAGATGGTTTTGAGTAGAAGATGAATAGCAAAAAAACCAGATGTAAGAGACTGGCCACCTCATTTGTTCTACATCAGTGTTAATGTATTGTCATTTCTTGGCTCACTGTTTCCGGGCCATCGAACAAATAGATAAAAGTCAATCGTTATGGACTCCCGGGAACACCGGATCATAGTGTTTCCCAGGGAATAGGCACCTCCTTAAAGTCATGAACTCTTAATGTCAGAGATCTTTTTGAAGAGGCAACTATACAAGCTGCGTTTTAGCTTATAGCATACTTAAATGGAAAACTGGGATGGTTGCTAAATTGTTCACTGTTACCAAACCAAGTTAATATTTACACATATTACTCTATCGGACTAAGCAGAAATGACTGCGGGTATTCATTAATGCTGACACACCACGGTGGTGCAGACGTGGAATGAGAAACGAATTAGTAATAAGTTTCAATATGTTCTCTTTAACTCCGTTTTCAACATCTCAATCTTCATTCTGCTCTTTTATCCAAATGGGCAACCCAAAGATAGCAACCAAAGCCGGCACATAAAAGTGGTTGTAAAAACTGAAACTAATACTGTTCGATATAATCCCACATTTTTGTATGCATCATTCTGATTACCATATGTTTACAAATAGTCGATGCCTTGGAAGTATCCTTGTGTGTTGCCACTGTTTGTTAGAATTTCCTCGTTTGATCATTCGCAGGAATGCCAATCGATCGACTCAACAAAGGCGCATTCGAGTACGTGTGACAGATGAGCTAGGTCTGTGAGGAGTTGTACGGGGTAGAACGGTGGTGTGGTTTTATTCATCTCATTCATGCAAGGCGAGCTGACTGGGCCCCTCACACCTTTGCGCAGTCAGATAGACCCATTTGACGAATCCCCTCAAAAGGTGTGAATGAATCAATAACAATCGGAATAGATGTGAGAAGCTGGACAAGTTGGGATGGATGATGATGATGATGCTCTGCCACAAGCGATTCATTCTAAATGTCAGAACATTCACCTGTCTCCCATGTAGGGCTGCAATTCCGCGGTCTGGGGGGTTTACATCAGTCTCAACCAGACTGTAATATAGAGAGACGTTCAGACGTTTGATTTATCGATTCTATGCTGTTTGTCTAGGCTGTTCTATGAGATTGTTGGGCTGTACACAGTACCGCATCAGGCTTATTCAGCACAAAATTAAGTTTACGCAGTGAGCAGAAATTTTGTTGATGTAAAATAGAAAGAACACGTTTGTTCCTTTCTCTTTTTATTAATTTGACCGTGCATATTCATAACCCAAATATTGTCGAACTTTGAAATGTAATGTAGTCATATTAGAATCCGTTTTCCCTGCATTGTACAGGGATTAGTTCCTGTTGTAAATGACCCCAATCCCGTTTTATATCAATTGAGAGCAACATCATGAATCGAATTTAAGGAGAAGTGAAACACTCAACATCGTTTTACCTAGTGTAGCTTTCGTACTCTGATTGTTTTCCGGTGTGTTGCATACAAGACAAGTAACCATTGTTCTTCTTAGTGCCTCTGTCAATTTGAATGGCAAGCGTGTTTTCTATCATGTGTGTATACTTTTGTCTAATTAAAATCAACGGAACGTCTGCTTCCATTCAAACACGTCACTTTAAAGAGGTTTCGCTTAACAGAAAGCCACACGGGTGTTTATCTGTTAGGTGAAGTATTGGGTCATATCTGTCGGGGCTTTTTAATTGGTCCGTCCCATTTGTTTGTTATCGCTGCAGAACATTGTTAGTTTTTACACTCGGACTGATGCCCCCTTTGATTACTTTTCATTTATGAAGCATCTTTTTTATCCTGCCTTCAAACGTGCACGATCAAGCAATTCTAGTCACTGTCTAATTAAAGTTTTATCTACGATATATGGTAAATGCAAACAACAAATCCTCACGAAAAAATAACGCACATGAGATATGTATATGAGAGCATCATCAGCCCAATTTGATGTAATTGGAATCCATGGTGGCCTGTATGGACTTGCAACTACTTTCCGATCCCGAAATTTCATTCTTCTATGAAAACCTCGCCAAATACCTTAACTTTTGTTATAATGTGTGCTGTCTTGAAGTCAGGATCCACCTGCAACCCAATCGCTTCATCTCTGAGAGACTGAAATGGTTACATGGTCTGAAATCGAAGGTGTATCGCTCAAAAGAAAAATGATTGTCAAATCTGTCAACTTACGTGTCCGAAGCGAGATACCCCATCTCAGTTAATCGTATATTGATACCGTGCTAGGAGACAAATCCTGCCGTCAGCTATGGAGCGGACTGTAGTTACTCTACGGCCGTTCAACTGTACCTACTGCGGTCTCATGTGAGATGAATGAGCTTAAAAGCTCTTTTTCTTCAGTGGAAAACGTTGTGCAAACACGATCGAGTCCAAATACAACGTCAATTGATTTCCACTCTCCTGTGACCATCAAAACAGATTAAGTTTTAAAGGAGTTGAATGCTGTCAACATAAATAAATCCTCTGGTCCTGATGAGTTATCTCAAGTGGTCCTCAAACAGACGCAAACCACCTCACAAAAATCGTTTCATTCATTTTGAACAGATGTCTGTGAGATGGTAGACTAGTTAACTCACGGCGTGATGTTCGCACCAGTCCAGTACCTAAGGAAGAAAGGGTAAGTATTAAGTATTATTTAAGACTTTTGAGCGAATTATTATTAAGCATCTATCCTCTTCTCTTGATTTTTGTGATTCCTTTCCGTTTTGCTTATTGTAAGCGTTCCTCTACTTTAGATGCGGCTACTTGTCTTATACATTCCGTTTTATCCATTATAGACCACACAAACTCTGTTGACGGAAACATTCCATTGAAAGTGGAACAGAAACAATCTCGCGCCACATAATGTGAATTGGATGCATGACTACTTTACCGACCGACGCTAATTCACTTTTCTCAATAGTATTAGGTCTTCCACTGTCACCGTACACCAAGGCGTAATATAGGAACCAATTTTACCCACAGAGGCGACTAAACTTTTCACAACCGACATAAAATCTTCAAATCTGCCAAACAACTATTTGAACAATGCTGTTCTCTTTTGCATTCAAAACTTGCCAGTCACCCCAACTGCTTTAACACTTGAATATGCCGATGACATAGAAGTTGGTAGTGCACCTAACTACAACTTTTCAATCAAACCCTTTAATCTGCCATAAGTTCCATTTCCGAATGGTCCGATGGTGTTAACCTTTCTTCAAACCCCAACAAATGCATTCAAGTTTTGTTTTCCATTAACCGTAAGCCATCAATAATTTCTGGACCATCTGTTCCCAACATGTTAATCAGTAACTTAAACGATGAAAGGTCACAACATTTCAAATATCTTGAGTGTTTTCTGTCTGTTGAACTCAAATGGTCCTGCCATGCAGAATAAACGTTTCCTAAAGTTAGAAAGCTGACCTTTTACATTTCACGCCTTCGACATCTGAGACTGCTATTGCACATCATTTCCAAATTTAGTTTCTCGCACGTTTTGTGCCATGAAACCTACTGCTTCTCCTTCAGCTTCTTCGGCCTAATGTCTAGGGATTTCACATTCATCAGACGCTCTCTGAAAAAAATCTCAAGATAAGGAGCTGGACCTGATGAGGCGCTGGTTGACTCCGTTGTCAACCCACACCTTTTGACCTGTAACCGTCTATGTGACACCATCTTATCTGATGCATCACATCCTTAAAACTCAATCCTCTCTCATTTAATTTCAAATTCTGTTACCCCCAATAAATTTAAATTTTTACACACTCGCACCACGGCTTTTCACAATGCCGTTGTACTTTACCTTTCACGTTTGTTGGTTTCCAGGGGCGAATAACAAATGAACTACTACACAGTCTCACGTAAATTTTCATGCTGGAATTTTCTACATTTGATTCGTGTTCACAGTTCCTCTCCACTATTATCTATATACCGTTTGTCATATCTTCAAACTCATTTTAATAGCATTTATGCCAAAGCAAAAAAGATATTTTTTCACTAAAAGCTAGGTTCATAATGGATAAATAAAGTGCATTCTTGACTTGGGTTAGTATTAAAAAACGTGATCATAAACCACATCAGTTTGAAGTATCTTTCCAAAACGTTCGTCTAGGCTGCAGTTCGGTTCAAGGGACTTGTACTCAGGGTTGGAGTTTACTCTTAAATTAGGATTGCAACGTTGGAAGCGAACCGAAGTGGAAGTATTTGATTCTGGTTTTCCTGCTCAACATAAATACATGAAAAGGAAAATCTGACTAAAAGTATTTCAATTTCGGACGACAGCTTCCACGGTTCTTCTCGAATATAGTTATTGTTTGTTTGCCCCCCAAAAATCGGATCGAATTAACACCAACTTGCTGAACAGAGTTTTATTAGGTCTCGGGTTGAGTACCGCAACCTCGTGGCCACTGTACCATTCGGGGAACGCGCGTAGCATTCCTTGTTGGACAGGTACATGCTAATTATACTCTATTGATCAGATCATTCATCATCATTGTACAGCGTAATACAGTGAAGTGAACTTCACTGATCGCTGCCAAACTCATATTGCATACAAAAGATAAGTGAGAATGTGTAAGGAGGACAGGAATTGGGCCTATTTCTAGGGACGGGAAAAGAAAGTGAACCTCTATAATCAACACAGAGTACACAGCCCAACTGTGCATACATACTAGTTCAAGCATTCTGGACTGATAAGAAGTGACAACAAGATCGCCTGTGCTGTCTTTTCGCAGCCATGACCTTCAGTGTCTCCAACCATGCGGTTTCGGAGTTTTTTGGACCCCAAACCGGAAGACGAGAGGCACCTACTCTACCTAATCGCTCGGTGCATTTCTTCATGCCTCGTCTCCACGTCATCTGCTGGCCTCCAAGTGGTTTTCTCCAGCCTGTAACAGCCACTGCAAATAAGGCGCGGTAGGCGACCGTCGAACACACAAAATGTGTCCTAACCAACGGAGCCCACTGAGCTGGATTCGATGCGATAGCGAGTTCCTGTTTGATATATTCCCAAACGCCCGACGATTTACGTCTAAGTTACTAACCCGCTCACTCCATCCCACTTGGGCCAGACTACGTAAGCATCGATTGTCGAATACTGCTAAACTACGGGTGTCGTCTACCCGCAAATCAAAGGTCTCACAATCGTAAAGCAAAACTGATGGTACAGTGGTGCAGTATACGCGACTTTTCAAGTTTAGTGACACGTCACATCGCCGCCACAGATGTTTCAGTCCTGCGTACGCTGCTCGAGCCTTGGAAATGCGGGAGGTTATCTTCTTCGATGAGCTACTGTCTTTGGTCACGCAGCTATCTAAGTACCAAAAGCAGTCAACTTCAGCTAATTCCTGACCGTCTAGTTTCAGAACAGAACTCGGTGTTACTCAGCCTTGTAGCATCACTTTGCACTTTGAAGGTGCAAAGCACATACCGAACGAAGCAACAGAACTTACTAATCTGTCAAGTGCTCTTTGTTCATTCTCAATACATGCTATCCTTTGGTATTCCATTTGGATAAAAAAGCAGAATTAAGATTGGAATGTTGAAAGCAAATTAAAGAGGAAGATGGAGAATTCATACAAAGTAGTGTTAGGAGAATGATGAGTGGTTTCACGAGCTAACTGAGTGAATAATTCGGAATTCAGTTAACCAAACGTGTAAAACAGAAGTCTAACTATTCAGGAGACCGACTAAATTTAATGCGTATTCATCAGTCATAATTGTTGATTTTGGGGTTAACTGTGTCTCCGCATGCATGGACCCTGATGGCATTTGTCCTTACTCGTGCTGACGTGTGTATATAAGCCAATGTGACAGATAAACAGGGAAGGCAGTTATTTGACTCAGAATTATTTAGATAAAGAATGCAAGAGGTGGATGATATCCGGGTGTGGACCAGTCCAGTTCATTGGACAGTTCTACCAATATGTGCCTTGCGTTACAAAACAATTGAAACAATGAGTGAGTGAATGCGAATTTCGTTTCTGGGAAATACTCTTTTTAAAGTCACCAAAATAAATAGATGAAATGTAGTAATAAGCTCTAGGGCCAACAAAAGATGGAATAGGAACGCATGAGTGTTTTGAATAGCTGTTCCATTTAATCCGTTGCTAATCAAGTCCTTGTATCGAGTTACCGAGTCATTGTCTTTAGGCATCATCCCCTAGTAAAGTTAGGATTTTTACTACTGTCACATTTATGTGAAACATTTTAGAACATCTTTTTGTTTGCAAATGCGCATTCGTCACGCAGAGTCAACGCGGCACTGATCCCTGAGAAGCGCATCAAACACCGTACCGCCATATTACGAATGAGCAACAGTGTATGTTCATTCACTCTCATTCTATGCAGCATTTTCGCGCAATATTAGTAAGAGCCGGCTGGTAAATCAATCACGGATGTCTGGTTAAGACCCCTTAAATTCACCGACAGTGACCGATGAATACTAATTGATGTTGTACTGATGTTTAGCAAACTACTTAAAGCCAGCCAAAAATAGACCCAACCAGTAGGATTACTAATCACATAATACCCGATAAATGGAAACGCATCTTGCCTCGACCACTTTGTTCATGCAAAAGGCTGTCCAATTTTTGTTTCGATTTTATAAAATGCACTATCAGTAAACCATGACCATATATATCCACCACTACTGCATTAACTATTATGTATCTTACTCTTGATTCACCGCACCCTGACAACAACACTCACTTGTTATGTTTTGTTTCGCTCACTTACACCACTAAATTCCTCCCAGCCAGGAACTCTATCTCAGATTCTGTAATGCATCGTGTTCCTCATCCCTCTCCCCCCACCTTTCTCTGGATAGTTTGCTATCAGTCGATCGTTCCGCAAGATTACGCGTATTTTCCTTCCTATATGTGTTTTTAAGAGACTCAAATCTCCAAGGGAATGTACTGGCCACGAAATAGCCGTGACTACTGCTATTGATCATCATTTAGGTCGTATTCACTGTTTAAATTTGAAGTGGGTACACATAATCTAACTGTTTATGGTCTAATGATTTGATTATCTTCAATCTGAATTTCAAAACAGGACGATATCGTCAATTAGCTCCCACAAACACCACCACCATGATCAACCTCATTGCTTTCACATTTAAACTGGAAGCTTAGCAATTAAGTGTGACCCAAATTGGTGAACATTCATGAACTATTTCATACTTTCTGTATCCGAAACACGGGTTTGTGTTGAGAAATGAACTCATTTTTTTCCACGAAGTCGAACGATAAACAAATCTCAATGTAAGATGTCAGAAAGATTGATGCAATAGAATCTATTACTTATAACGGAGTAGAAAATTTACTTAAACGACAACAAATATTAACAAGGTGACTATCGGAATGCGATGTGTTTTATAATTAATTACACCGGGAACAACTATGACATCCATTCTACTTGGTAAGCGCTCAAAATGTCCGAACTAGGTAATACTGTGTACAGATATGGTCCCATTAAAATTCCCTCTGTACTTTCCATTTTTCCATCCAATCAGACCTCTTCCTCTTTGTCCCTGTCTGGCTCGTTGAGTTCGGACAAGGAGGAGTCTGCGAACACTGATCGCCTGGTTCGTCGTGATTCGACAACCCCCTTTTCGCCTTCCATGCAAACTCTGGTCTCGGGAACAAGAAGCAATTCGTTCGATTCATTCAATACGAAGGTGCATATATTCGATAATAATAATCGACTCACCTCACCTCTCACGCCTCCCACGTATGATAATGCCATGGAACGCGAAACTCGAACGGGGACAGGGCAGCTATTGTTCCGCAGAAATATGAACGACAGTGTTGCAACAAATCGAAGGAGTATGGATGATGGTACCAAATATCAATGCAAGGTATTATTAGTAACAACGATAATGTGCATGCGTACGGAATGATGAAAGCATGGATTGTATGTAATTTAGTCTTTGGACAACAGCTTCATTGTTTATGAAGAATTTTACTTTTCTATGCATTACTTATATTTTTTCTCTAGACATCATCATCAGTTTCATAAAAGTGTTCAGTGTTCAATGATCGGTAGCCACGGTGCTCTTTCTCTCTCTCTTTGTGTATGCTTAAAAGTGGCTGGGGAGCTCGTTTTCACTTTATTCAGTTCATCTAGTTAATCATCCTCTCCGCTGCTTTGGGGAAAAGCGAAATCTTTTTATTGATCACCATGTGTTAATATCACTCTGTCACCATTACCATATTCAGCTTATAAACACAAATAGTACTAATTTACTGACAGATGAAGTACGATCAAGTAGTTTTGGGTCCAAGTTATTTACGAGGCAACATGTGTTTATTCCCGTTTGTAAGGGTTGTCAAGGGAACGAATCTTCCATTTGATGTATCTTGTCCAAGGAAGCTTCTAAACATGTGGACCTGTATGTGGGCATGCACTATTCAACGACCAGTCAGCTGATAGTGTAACTTTGATCATTCAAACTATGAAACCAGTATAATCCGGAGCCCATCAGCATACAATTTACATTCGTGCCCCTGTTTATCAATAAATCAGAAATTTTCAAACGGAATGTGAAATTGTAGAGTACGAACGATTGAAAATTTAACAGAACTGGTATACGGATGAAGTCATACCTCTGGGTCAGCAATGGTACATTTTTCTTTTCATGCGTACAAAATATACATAGAATGTTCATTTATATCGTGAACCGTCACTTGTCCAATAAATTGTAATTTTATCATCTGAAGAAGTTTTGTAGTTTAACCAATTGTATAAGACTTTGCTCCTATTCTGATTTTCCAATAACATGTACCTGCTCCAAGTAGCTAGTTTGTGAACACATAAGAATGAATTCATAACTATTTGTCGAATTTTGCGTTAGTGTATGTGATTATTGTCCTGCGGAGACTGCACAGTAGAACAAAAACAATTCACGGTCAGCAATCCCATTGTGATGCTTTGAATGTTTTGCGGTCCCCTGGTGCAGATCTTTTATCGGGTGTATCAATTTCGTTGTTTGATTGCGGTTTCCAAATTGCACTTTATTCAGTGCAGCAATGGATACAGTCACCTGCACACCACGACGCGCCATTTTTGACAGGCCACAGCAGAAATCGGACAGCAATACGGGATACTTTTGGTGTGGTGTTGTGCGTGTACGGCGTCTGTTGGCATTTTTTGTTCTTTTGTCTATGCAGGTTCCCCATTTTTTGAATGCGACTAAAATGTGATCCAAAAATAGACTGCGGCATCACTTGTTTCCGCGAAATACTACTACTGCACTGTAATGGCGACCGTAGTCTAGAGTTTAACGGTAGACAGCCCGATGTGTGCGAATAACTTGTTCCAAGGAAAACTCGAACACATGACAATCCGCATTTTTCATTTTTGGGAATTCTTTACTCGTAGTTTCCTTGGAAACGTACTTGATACACATGTGAGAGAGAGGGAATAAGAACTTTTTCAGTTGCATTCTGATTGTTTTTCTTTTAGAGAGAGGCTTCTGGTTCGGTTTTAATTTGATCAATCAAAATCATTCTTATTTTAGAGTTTCGCATTTCATGAACAACTGTCTTACGTAAGCGTGATGAATTGGATAGAAAACGAAATGATTATATCTTCAGACAGGCCCAAACAATGCAAAATATTGTGATGTATACTTAGCATCAAAATATGTCCCGCAAAACAAAGATCACATTGGTTTCCGTAAATACAATGAATTAAAAGCCTCTAGTTTTAGGTCGCAAACAATTTGAAAGAGAGACTAAATTACCATAGTCTCAGTGTACCAGAAACGTCCTGTGAAACAAGCCAATACGTAGGCAATTAGGTTCAGCCTACGCTGAAATTCAACGCGTGGTGAGTTATTTTATTGTGCTATTCTTGGATTTCTCACTCCAATATTCAGACATGCAAACAAATCAACTTTAGCCCATTACCGAGAATTCCTAACTGTAGATGGAGCAAAAATCTGATGTTAGGTTGTTTGTTACTAATCGGTTGGGTTCGGAGAAAAGTGAATACAACCACCGCCACAATTACAAGTTGCAATAAGTTCAATAGATTCAAAAACACTATACCTTTTTCAGTTTAAGATGTCCGAAATCCAATTTCAAGATGTCACAATATGAATTCAAGATGTCCGAGTATCAATTTAAGATGTCATGTTGCTATGTGGGTAGTACCTTGCACAGTACACAGTAAAAATATAGCAACATGACATCTTAAATTGATACTTGGACATCTTAAATTCATATTGTGACATCTTAAATTGGATTTCGAACATCTTAAACTGAAAAAGGTATAGTCCATGATCTGAACAGAACTTGGACTTCGTAGAAAGATTTCATGCGGCCAAGATGATCGGTTTTGTTGCTTACGCTGGTTTCAAAGGATGTTCTCATAAAACAAATAAAACATCCCTTATGATCAAACAAGTTTGTCTTTCCAACGTCCCTTTGGGTTACATGCAAATTTTCGTTCAAAAAGTTGATTGCTCAGAAACGTTGAATTAATTCAGTCTGGTTAATTCGCAAATTTATAAAAAACGAATCTGTAATGTACGGAGTAGGCAGGTGAAAGAAGCTCACTGGTCATATTCTGTCGACCTATGCTGGGCCAGATTGGTGGATTTTTCTGACGTTATCATCGCTTGACTCACAATCAGATTCACTTTCTGGATCTCTCGAGACCAAGACAATAAAAGTGCTTGGATGAGTACTGTTTCCGGCATATGTCTGCGCTTGTTACTGTTTTCTTACGCCCAGTCAT